GGTCTAATGGGCATATCTTGCTTATGTAATTTAACTAAAGAATGTAATATAATAATAATAATGTAATATTTTTCTTCGGCACTAAATAGGGTGGAGTTAGTAATTACTTCCTTGACTCGTCTTTGATATAACTAGGTGGGATCGTGTTTGATACATTGGAAAAGTTCTAGTATAAGAAAATTGGTGGTTTTTGAAATATATTCTGGGAGATCGATAGCTATGACTGTCTTTACCTGCACCTGTAAATATTATTTTATTTTCAGAAGCTTTGTTTTTGATAGTTTTTACTAGTGACATTTGAGAAATTTCTAAGAGTTTGTTGTTATCTATTAATTGAGAGTTTATTATATTCGTTAATACATGTTTGTTTAAATTAGAATCGTTAATGTCCTTAATTGCTAGTTCACAATCGATAGCTAAACAGGTCTAATTTTCTATTAATGTACGAGTGCTGTAAGTTAAAGTTGATGAAACCTTTTTCCAGAAATTCAACTTCATTTTTGGAAAATGTTGTGTCTGTAACTGGCTTGCTGTTAGATATCTTTGAATTAAAAATTAATTTGTATAACTTTAGTTTTTGTCTAAGAAACTTTTTATGAATATTAGATGAAATTAAGTCAATGAGATAATTCAGAAAACCTTTACATAAATATTGTTTGTATCCCGTTTTCTGTACTCGTGTCTTCGTTCTTCCTTCGTCCATTTCATCTGGCCGGGGATCCGGGCTTTCCTTGCAGCAGGACTTCTGTTGTTGGTTATGAATTATGTAAACTTGGCAAAAATCTTATTTTGCAGATATTTGTAAAAAACTAAAGAAACCAAACGCAAAACAAATTAGATTTTTCCATTTATCATAAAACTTCACCAACGGACGCAGTCATACATAACAGCTCAAATCACCCTTATACACACAAAATGGCTACATTTCACTCTTTTATACACAGACTTCTTAATGCGCCACTCTCAACCGAAAATTACAACAAACAACTTAATATCATTAAACAATTGCACTGAACAACGGCTACAATCCGTCCATTATAGATAAAATTATAAATAAAAAACAAATCTAGACAATAGTAAAGTCTATTTATCTGAAACCTAATACAGAACACGAACAATTTAAAACAATAACATAGGAGAACCCAGTGAACAAGTTTCAAAACATTTGTCAAAATGTGGTTTAAAAATAGCTTTCAGAACTAACAACACAATAGGAAAATTTTCAAAAAACAATAAAACGAAATGTCCAAAATATTAAAAATCAGGTGTCTACAGATTGAAATGCGGATCTTGTCCTAAAATTTATATTGGACAAACAGGTTGATTATTCGAGAAAAGCATTAACGAACAAAAAAGCGCGATTAAAAACAATAGTCTAGATTCTAATTATACTACACACTTAAACACAGAAAAACACTTTTTTGACGACAATTTTGATATTTTACATACAGCCACAAAAAGTAGAAAATTAAATTTATTGGAAGCCATGGAGATTAACAAAATGAGGCATTCAAATGTATTGCTTAACGATCAATTAGATTTAAGTACCTCAACTTTATTGAACTTAAATTCTCACAACCACATTAATTAAGGTTTTATTGTCATGTTTCGGTATATATAGTAGCAGGTAGATTGTAAATATTACATTTGATAAAGACACGGTGTTGTTGAAACAATTGTCACGTAAAAATATATAATTTCGTGAAAATCTGAACTTTTAGTTCTTATTTATTTTGAGGAAGAATGTGCTACGATATTTGGTGTTTGCACGGGGAACAAACCCAACGCAATCTAAAATTTGAGTAATTAAATAATGGTACCACGGTGATCACTAATCGACACACGACAAAATTTATACCATTTTATACCATATATATTTCAAAAACCTATATGACATTTGTACCCAGGAAATGAAACTACTGATGCACATTTAACTTTAAGCTGACGTATGAGTTATATCATATTTTTATATATTTTTTATAAATTGCTAGCTTTTTGAGGTATCTCAAAACACTAGTTTACAAAAAAAAGTCTTCATCATAAAACAGAAAACAGACATCAAGATCTATACCAGTGTAATTAATAAAAATGTTGAATCATAATCGCCTCACCTTACAGATTTTTTTCTTTTGTTTATATTACATACCACAGTATTTTATTATAAGCGTCCGTTACTGAAGCGAATTAATGGTTAGAAGTAGTTATGTGTCATTTTATAGGGTTTGAACTTTGAACAATTTTTAATCGCTTTCGTCTTCTCTTTTATTGATACTATCTTATTGTATTGTATATGGAATACAGCAGAATAAATGTATTATTATTATTATTATTATTATTATTATTATTATTATGGAGGAATGCTTGAGGAAGCAACGCATTCATCGGGTGTGCGGCCATAGAGATATACTTACTGAGTGTGATTAGACAAGTATGAAGAAACCAAGTTAACAATATAGCCCATGAACGGCTTGGATTCTCAAACATACATGAAAAAGTATTACAAACTGTTTACCCAAAGGACAGTCATGGATCAGAAAGGTCGAGATTCAATCTGAACCGTTGCAAATATGAATTTCATTGTTTTAAGAGCTTCTTCCGCCTCATATTCGGAAAAGTTCTCTCTATTTATTAATACGATACGCATGCATGTCATTAAAGTTTTGAACTTTCAGATTCACGTGGCCTTTGATGAAGCCTGCCAAACGGGCTGTTATGGTGTATGGTGTATGTCGTCATTTTTATCTCCACAAAACGATGCACGCACAATCCTAAACTTCAAATCTTAATAATTAAAAAAATCGTAAAAACTTTAAAGCACACATTCGTTTCCTTAAAAAAAGCAGCGCCCTGTGTAATGCAATGGGAGGCAACGTCAAAAGTCCGACGATGCGGTCATTTATAATAACTAACGAGTAAAGCGACAGTCTAATCTCAATTCTTATTAAATAAATCAATAAAAGGAAAAATTCAACGGCGACTACGCATCAATAATGCAGCCGGATGATTCCGGTGTGGTTGCCATAAACGAAGGTTCGGTTATTATTTAAAAACAATTATCCCTCCCAAGCCTGGCGGTCTAATCGGAAACGAATACGTTCGAAGCTCGTCGAGTTAAGTAAATTAATAGGGACAGAGTTGGGCAATTGTCTGTTACCCCTTTGCCGTCGAGTTAAATTGATTTTAATCGGGAACGAGGTGCAGTCACAAACTTCCAACCAGAAGCACAAGTCGTTCGTAAAATTGCATTTAGTCAAAGGAAGAGTGGCGGTAAAGAGTGTTTGTTGCCTGTCAATGAATGGTTGCCATGGTAACCCCGTAAAGTGGGAGGAAATAATTCCCGATCACACGCGTGGGCGATTATAATGTAACAACGTAAATAATTTCATAATTTTTTTATAAATAGTTAAATTAAAGAAAGTTGACTCACTTTTAGAGACAATGCAAACCACATCCGAAGACTGTGGCAGCGGGCGCTAGGCCCTTGAAACGGACTTTGGTCCTCTAAATTACAGTTTTTGAAAGTTCTGTTTTGCCTTATTGGTAAACACCATTTGGAAGAGAAACTGTCGCTGTTGTAGGGCTTCAACAAAAACCCAATATACTTCATTTTTTCATTTAAAGCGTTTCGCATTCGATTTTAATTCGTTAAGTCGTCGAAATTTAAAAAATGCGTGTCAACAATGCGTGGTAATCGTAAACAAATTCGACGTGAAATTTTTCAAAATTGATTTTAATAGCAAAAAATGTATCACTATTCTAATAAGCCTATTTTCAAAATGATTCGTTGCTATAATTTGAAGTCCCACTGTTAACAACAAAGAGAGCGTTTCGAATTAATTAAACGCGTAAATTAAATTTCGTTTGTCGTGCGATTTCGGTGGAAAAACGTAATTAATTTATATTATTACCGCTTCTACTATTTTAACGTTGGATAAACGAATTAGGTGGGTTATTGTAAATTTACCGCTCTCGTCACAACGAAACGCCACTAGCAATGGACGTTGGTATAAACATAGAACGCGTTTGTCAGATATTTTACAAATATACAATATGTTCGAGTAAGGCGGAACAATGTGGGAAACGTTTTTGTTATTAAGTTTCAGAAAAGAAAATTAATTTCTTCCATAAGTTTTTCTCAAAACGCGAATTTTACTCATCCAAATGCCAAATAATACAACAAGTTTTACAAACTCGTTTTTATGACCTTTTTGCTCCCGTCTATAAAATAACTAATTACACACCGATCTAGCGTGCGGGAAGCGTCACTTTACCACGTCAGTTTTGTTTCCCACGGATCCGGAATTTTGACGTTTGTCATTTCTGACAGTCTGTCATGTCATGTGATGTCAGTGAATGTAAAATGTACACAAAAACTAATACACGGAAAAATGTTATGCAATGCTACGTGCTATAAGCTACAATTAAAATGTAGTGGATTAGTTGGTAAGTCAAGTGACATTTATAATTTAACTAAGCTAAAGAACTTTAGTTCTTTTTCTTTGCATAATATACTATAGTTGACGAACTATCCTGATAAGTATTTTGTAATATTAACCGTGTGTTCCATGGAACGATATTCTTTTTTTTTGTCTGCCAGAACAACCTTACAAAAATTCCAGGAAATTTTTAAGTAAATAGTCAGGAACGTATTACGTTACGTATTAAGTTGGTTTCAAGGTGGGTGTTTTACTCATGACTGAAGTTCACATTTCGTGACAAAATTACTACTGGGAAAAATATTTCATATGTTACATTTTTGCAAGCACGGAGGGGGATTATATAACAAATAACAAATACTCTGGTGAGTATGTCAATTTTATAACAACACCGTAACGTTCGCTTACCGTTGCGACAAACTAACTAGTAACAATCGATTTTCATTGGAAATAATATCGGTTTTTAAGAGCCCCTCGCTTTTGAATTATTAATGACGTCGCCGTTAAAAATTCAGAACGACGATTCTCGGATTTTACTGGCTACCGATTCCTTGTGGGACTTACCATGGGCGGGGCCTCCTGCAACAAACAACGCACGTTTCAGAAAAACCCGAAAAATGAACAAGAATAACAAAATTAATGGTAAAAACTCAAAAAAGGGGGACTAGTGAAGTATAGAAACCAGTTAATTATCCTAGATCACTTAACCTTCACCCGACCGAAAGCGGGGACAAATTGACCCAAGATTTACATTTTTCTTTTTAAACTTTTAAAATAACTTTTTCAATTTTTTTGCCTAAAATAGTCTGTTAAAACATAAGCAACAACAGCCAAAACAAAAATTGCTATTCAACAATCAAAGAGCGAAAGAATTTGTAAAAAAACATAATGACATTTACGAAGGCAAATTAATTAGTCTAGCGCGCTATCTGCACAATATTAATTTTATATGGAAGATTTAGAGAAGCGAAAGAAAGCCCAGCTAATCCGTGGTCTCTCACAAATAATTCTTTAGCAAGACGTGTTTAGACATGAAGACGATGTTTCTACAAGAACGGAGAGAAAAAGTCAAAATAAACTTGGCTAGCAAAGTTACATTTTTTTCACCGATCTATGTTCTCCCTTGAATGAATTAAATATAAAAGTACAAGGCGATAATAAAACAGTCATTATAATATTTGACTTAATCAAAACGTGCAAGTCAAATTACAAATTTTCTTTCAAATTCATATAAATACAGTGAGAATACAGAAAAAAATATGTCAATATCGCGAAAAGCCAAATAAAGAGTCTAACGAAATAATTTTCAATGGTAATTCAATCCCTAAAGATTGTCGCAGTGTAAAGACTTTGAACAAAGTTTAAAATGTATTTTATATCCTTTTTTTTCAAAGAAACTTCCACAGGATACTGTTATACTTTTTACAAAACTTCTGGATTCCTCCTGCGTCGGTTTTTGCTGACGCTTCGCCATTGCGGGCTTCTTCAGAGCTTGACTGAAACTGAGTTTCAGGTTCAGTTTCAGTCAAACTCTGAAGAAGCCAACAGGATGATTGACGAAACGTCAGCAATTTCGACTCAGCCAAAACCGACGCAGGAGGATTCCAGAAGTTTTGTAAAAAGTATTTTATATCATGATACAAAATTAAATAAAACTAACCTCCAAATACGTGCTTCGTAAAATCTTCCGTGCTCGTGTTGTGGCCGTTGATTATGGCGGTCGACATGTTGTCTACGGGTGATACACGTACGTCTGACTGCGCCACCTGTAAACGAAGCGGCTTAAACCAAGAAGATGTCGAGAAACTCGGCAAAGATAAAAAGAGCAACCGGAGACATTGCCGTTTCAATGGCACTCCGTGGCACCCCGTGGCGACAGATAAAAAGAAAACTAAACTAAGACGGAAGATTTTAATATGAGGCAGAAAAGGTAATATTAGGCGAACGTTAGGTTATTAATTAATATTATTTATTTTTAAAAAACTCATCAAATCAACATAACAAAATGTCATAAATATGCAAGATGCGATGTTGTTTTAGTAAAAAATTATAATTTCTCGTCCCCTTTGTAAAAGCACGAAAAAGTGGAAAGGTAAATTTTAACCGTGTCCTGTCGATTCTCAAAAAATAAGAGATAAGATTTTTATTTTCTTATAAATTTTACTTCTGCGAAGACGGCGGCACTTTTAAAAATATATTTGTGGGCCTGAAATAACGGACCCTGTTAGAAGTTTGTTGTTGATGAAATTCCGGCTATTTTTGGTTTGATATAAACAACGTAAAAGGCGCGTACTGTCATTTCAATTAATTAACCCGAACACTGGACGGCCGGCGTGCGGAATGCAAACCGCCTCATTTTAATAAGCGCATTGTCACATTTCACAATTTTATGCGACGACCGCACAAAAGCCAAAAATTACTTATCGAATTAAAGCTCGCGGTTTTTGAAAACGCTAGGTTTTCCAAAAAGCTATTACTTTAACAAGTTTTTTTTTTAATATATAAGGAATAGGAAAACTATATATATGCCATTTAAAATTGAAACGTTACAGTCGTTGTATTGCATCGCAACACGAATGAAACGTTTTTCGCAAACAACCGAGGCACTTGTTGCCAGTTTAAATATAGATTCCCTCGAGCGATAAAATCTTTCGAGACCAAGATTGGAGGCGTCTGCATGTCGGTTGGTCGAAACGTTTTTTTTTTCTAACGAAAACGAAGAATGTTTTCGACACAATCTCCAAATTTTTCAAATCGAGACCCGTTTCCAGGTGGGAAAGAAAATTCTTCGCCAGTGGTTTTTCCCGAATCGTGAATTTTTTATGGTACCTAATCTATAATTGGACATAGCGACAGACCGATCGAGGGCAGAGTAATTGGAACCAACCAAAACGAACCAAACACTTTGGTGTAGAAAAGAGCAAAATTTAAAATGTTTGTCACATTCTTTGTCATTTAAGATACCCTTTCAAATAATTCTTGGATAGTTAGTAGTGCAATTTTGGCAAAAAAAAGGTTGCAATGTTTTAAATGCATTCCGCATATACAACTTTTACTCAGTATTTGTAAATTCGGAACTACACCATCGAACGGTATACCCCGTATATTAGGCGAGCGCCCCGTCAAGGCCCTCTCGGATACACACATACACCGACTTACTTTGTTAGCAGCAGAATCAAACAGCCTGCGGAGTTCGAGAATCGTGACGTCGAACCATCGACACGGGTACCGGGATCGCGTGCTCGTCGCCCCGAATGAAAAACGTAAACGCAAACCGTACGGCATCAAGTGGGCCGTGCACGGAAGAGCGGCGCGCAGGCGGCCGCGCATTCAAAACAAACGCCGTCCGAATCGGGAACGACACGTGGCGCGCCGATCCCAACTATTAGGCGTTATTTTGCGATTCAAATCTGCTCGACAAATTAAGAAACGTCGGCCGCTCGTCAAAGGTTTCAGCATTAAATCCGATCGATGTCAGCGTTTTCGAAAAGCGTGACGTGTCCCATAGACTCAAAATCGAAAATGTCCATTACTCATTTAACGTTTAAAACGGATCGTTTTCCTTTCTATTTCGGCTCGTCGTTGGGGTGTACAAATTTCGTGACGGCGCGGCGCTTGTATTCCCCGTTACCATCGCTACTATTATTTTTAGCTTTTAAACGGTATGGATCGGCAGTAATCACCTGAATTTTCCCAAAGCAATTACGTCGATTCCGGAGTCCGTTTTTTATCGTCCACTTAGATTGACAGAGTTTTTTTCCAATCGCTTATGATTAGTTTGCGTCGGCAAAATCAATTCGATACCTTGCCGCAATTACGCGCCCTTTTATTGCGACGCTTAAGCACGACGCATTTGGTCGTTCGTGTTCTGTGACTGCCATCGATGTCACAGAATAAACTTCGAGCATAAAAAAACTGGTTGCGAATTTGTTAACAAGTTCAAATCCTACCCGTTCGGTCTATTATTAGCTCAGACTCGATCAGAATCGTCGTCATAACGTCATTAATGTAATGCGTATGTACATCACGTATTACATCTTCATTGCATTACGTTATGAAAATAATTCTGCATATACGTAATGCGACTTTGTATTGAACGTAACGTCGGCAAATGACGAATTCTTATTTAAACGAGAGGAAAAATAAAGAAAAAAAACGCCGGTGCATAAATATTGTTCTGCATTAACGTCGACACCTATCGGAGAGCTGTGCAAGCAACCACAGTGTTTTGTTTTGTTTGCTAATTATTATGGGATTTTCATTCGTTATACCTACCCAAATGTGGTACGCTTTCATTAAATGAATTATTCGCGTATTGAAAAAACCTGATAAGTACGCGGCTTCGCAACATTATCAGTTTGCATTCGGGTAAAAGATTGTCAAGTTTTCTAGTATTCTTGACTTTGATATTCATTTGGCCTTGCACGCCTCCTAAAAGCTGGATAGTCTCGGATGGCCCGTCTTGGTAGCGGTGGGGTGGTCGGCTTTTTAGTATCCACCGTTTTTCGTAAGCTGAGAACAAATGCCTGTCATTGTATTGTATACGCGTTGATGCGAGACCAAATTAAAAATAACCTCGTCGGGAAGTTGCTAGTGAGCGAGTGTCCTTGCCAAACTTGCTCACATTTTGGAAAAACAATAAGAAGAAGAAGTGTTCTGAGTCGAAACTAACCAAATTATAGAAAGATTCTGTGGGTAGCATTCTAGTTTTTCAACATTTAAGACTTGTTTTCGGTAAAATTGTTATTGTGTTCGATATTAGTGAACAGATAGTGTCTTTTAGTGATATAACTCCCGCAGTTTCGCTGTTTTCCCTATACGCGCCTGTAACCAGGTGGGATGGACCCCAATATCGGCGGCGAAAGCGAGGAGCCGCGTTTTTTATAAAATTGATTAAAAAACTTTTATTATTGACGAGTGCTAGTGAATGGGTTGGTCACTGACCAACACGAATTGTTAACGTTAAAACATGCTGTAAATCGTTAACCCCTCACGTTTAAATATTGAACTGTAGTTGTAACTGGCCAAATTATCTTGGCCGACAGACCAATAGAAATAAAGAAGACAAGAAGAACCAAATTATACAAAAATTATGCTCCAAAATTGTGTAATACTTACTAGCATATAACTACTAAAGAAATAGCTTAAAAGTTAAGAAGCAACTGTGCATACGCGAGATTTAACACGATTTAATGATTGATTTAACCAATGACCTTGCGGCACTCGAAACCCGACATGGCCGGTGACAGATTGTGCTTAGTCTCGTTACACGTTAAGTGATCGACGTTTAGAAAAAAATGATGTAAAGTGAAGGTTCGTGAGTTAAATGTAGCCGAAAATAATTGACTTTTCCAGGAACATAGCATATGATCACTAGCTATAGGTTGGTAATAAAAGTGACTCCACAATAAGATTGTTTATTTGTATACTGCCATAATAATTACATTTTAAATCTATTTCTAAAATAAAACAATTCAAGACAAGTAATTTATCAGATTCAAAATCCCCGGTAGGTGGTGTAGCTGTGGGGACTCAGCAACAGAGGAAAGTGGTAGCTATCGCTGTAGGAGCAGCTATCGAAAACAACCTAAAAATTGACGTGCGCATTACAAAAACAATGCACGCTGCGGGACCTAACCTCGATAAACGGATATAGGCTCTCTTGCTTTTTCGACTCAAAGTACCTGTCGACGTCGTAATGGAGCTTGTAACGACCAGTACTGAAGTCCGCCCGACTGATGAATTGCCCGACCCGCCCCTGAGTGTTGGTCAACCCCTCGTTAATGTACGTCCAGCGTCCTTCGATCAACTTGTACAAACTGACAGAAAGACCCACCACAGGACTGCCACGGGTGGTGTCCACTACATGAGTGGAAATGGGCGTCTTATCTGTAGCACTTGAATCTTGCTAAAATAAATGAAATATGCAGCCCAGTGGGTTTGTCTGCTCTCACTATCACATAACTAATAAACTTACCTTCTGGAATGTAGACGTTTCTTTAAATTGACTTGAGTCAACTTCATTTTCATCCTCGTCCTCATCGTTTGGTTCATGTTGATCGTCTTGTTCCAAACCGATATCTCCATCTGAGTACTCTATAAACTGGGTTTCCCCGTCTTCACTCTCTTCCTGCAGCATGCTGACCTCGTTCATAAAAACAGTTTCCACCTCATCGGATTCCATGCGTTGCCTCTGGCCTGCTTTATTCTGCAAAATTTAAAAATCACTCACGATTGCACAACAGTAGTGCTGAAGGCTAACTTTTCGCGTTGAATGGGATTGGGCAGCTTTTTGGTGTCGAATCGTGCAAGTGTGTTTCAACAGGCTAAGTCTGTGAGCGTGTAAAGTTTTCTCACAGTAGGTGCAATAGGCCCTGGTAGGTTCCCCTTCAACACCCCTAAGCCATCCTAAGAAAACACTTTGAAAAAATTGGTTTACATTACTCAAAGACAACCTTTAAAATCTGGCATTTGCTCCCATGCCGGTCTGTATGTTTGTTTGTAGTATCGGCTTCTAACTGCCGATTGGTTCGAGAACGAGGGCGGCGGCGTATTTCTGTGTATTTTTATCAATTGCAAAGGGATCACGCCGAGTTCCTCGCCTTCTTCGTGGTTTTCGTCGTCTGTGTTCTGCTTATGTTCACTTTCGCTGTCCATTTGAAAGGTTTTAAAACCGCCAACACAAAAAATTACCAGAAACTTTCCGAAAATTACTAAACAAATTCAATATGGGACGGGGAAAGCAGAGAAAAACTGAAACTTTAATTTTAGACGGCCGGGATTGTTATTCTTTGAAAATGCAGTGCATCGTTAAAGGAAACTCCTAATTTTTCGTACAATTCGTTATGGCGTTACTAAAAGAAGTCTTACTGGGTACATTATTAGGCAATCCGAATTTATTAAATTTTTATCTGTGGTTTCTAAATGACATCCAGCTGCACGGCGTTGCCACCTGACAGGTAAAATTATTTTAAAATATACAGTAATAAAATTTACGTCCTCTTAGTTTTTCTATTTCCTTTTTGAATTTGGCTTGGCAATAGCAAATTTTTAAAGTTAATACAGAAAAATTCGTAAATTATCAAGGCAAAAAATATAAAGATCATAAGACAAATTTTCGTTCTGAAAACCAAACATAAACTTAAATCGTATAGAATTATTATTATTTTTGGCGCTAGTTTCATATAACATTATCATAACTTGGGTCAAGAATCACATACAAACTATATAAGTAATGACGATTGCAGCTTAAATAGTTTTAATCGATTCTAAGGCAACAAATTACTCAAATTATCTTCTTAGAACGCATTTGGCAAGAGGCGCAATTTTTCCCGCCCGGGCGATACAAAATGGCAACGTCGCCGACCACTGACAGTCAGTTGGAAAATGGCGTCTCGTGACTTTTAGCACATGTCAGTTTCCTCCGGTAAGAATTAGCGAAACAGTTATTTTTTCCGTGTCGTGCCGAATAAATATGACCCGCGGTAAAGCGTAAACGTACACGTACGGCGTATAATTATTTACGAAGGCACTTTGTTGTCGGACGAGCCTTGAGATGCGGTCGGTGACGTAAACAAATATTTTATACTGTCACTGGGGACGGCGGAAAAAATGTTGCAATCGTGAAAAAAAAAACTCGCATTAGTTTTTCCGCTTCCCGAGTTTCCTCGTCACGCCGCGTTGTTTTAGGCGGCGGTATTCGTTGGGGCCCGAAGATCTTCCGAAAACGCCAAGATTTGTCTTATCACGGAATCGGTGAGTCCTGCGCTGCGTTTTTCCAGTTTAAGACTTTAGTAATAGTTATCCCGACGAACGCTTTCATATCTAAAATTATCTCTGGCCTGATGCCAAGATTGCCGTTTCTTTTGAGACAGGAAAAATAACTCTCTCGCGAGTTTAGGGTTATTAAAATCTGCCCCGTTTTCGGCGCAACCCACACCTTGACGGAAGTAGGTCTTTGGTTTTTCAAAGCGCATACCCATTGTTGTGAACGTAAAATATAACCCACACGTGCTTCGCCAGAGATAAGCAGATATTTACAAAGTGTTGTGCGTCGGGTGGCTCATTAAGGATAGGTCGTTGTGAACTGGTGAAAATCGTCATTCAAACTCTCAGCCTAATGTGTGAAAACACATATCGGGCGCTTTCCGTAATATTTGTTGTGTTTGAGCGTTGCGGTTTTCTAAATTTGGTCGTTTTTTCACAGCTTCTGGTTGGAGTTTTTCCGATTTATTACCTGTTCTAGCAGAAAATGGTCTGCATCGAGGAAGAGAGCTCCTTTAAGGTCACGCTGCAAGACGACGGGCAATCTCACGAGCCAACTCATATCACCCTGACACCGATGAAGACCATAGACGAGATATTCAAAGAGGTATCGGACAAGTTCGACAGTCAACCGGATGAGCTCGAGATTGTCATAAAAGCCGGCGAGAAGGAGCTAGTGAGTGAAAGATTTTTGAAATTTTTTGGTCGACCCTTACTAACGTTTATATCGAGGATTCTTAAGCAAGTTTTGCGAACATCAGAAAAAATATGCGTTATAAGATCACGGTTTTACCGTTTCCACTATGATATACAAACAGAGGTCGCGTGTTGCTTCCTTGGGACACACTAACTAACTAAACTGAAATTTAACTTTGATGTCCCAACTCGTAAACTGACATGCAGTTTTCGAAAAACTAAGGTCAATGTGACATCCGACAGCTTATGTCTAATTGCCTCAGAAGGGTGCTCAGATAAAAACAAAAAACTTGTGTTGCATCATCTCGAGGTGGACTTTCACAAAAGTGAAGATTGCACTCAGAGTATAACCTCAAATATTTATATATATTTTTATATCTATTGTTGTTCATTTGATTATAAATATTAACAATCAGCAATTACATTACATTATTAATAATTCTTAATTGTACATACTTGAAGCGTATAGAACCTTGGAGGTATTTTTTTTTGTATATTCTAGCTTGCTTAGAAAAGTTACATACTAAATTTTAATTTCATAGATTGTGGGTAGTTTCTGATTGTAAATTCACCCAAACAATATAGGTTACGGCGTAATATTATCTATAGTTTATTTTTGAAATACCTTCTGCTCTAGAGATATGCAGGTGCTTTCTCTTCTCCAGTAGTTTTTTTTTGTTCTTAACTTTTTGCCAGTTATCCTCATTGAAAAGTGAATCGGTCAAAATGAATCCATTCCGAGGGATGGCAATTTCAAAAAAGTCTCGCTTTCCAGAGAAACTTGAGCGAGCTGAAGGAAAAAACGCTGTACGAGGCGGACCTGTGGCCGGTGGACAGCGCGGCCGATTACGAACTGCTGGTCACGCGGCAGAAGAAGAACATGTCGCTGTCGGTGTCCGACGCCTTAGAGGACGACCTGTTGCTCGGCGCCTCTGCCAGCCCCACCACCCGCGAATTCGTCACCAGCTATCCAGAGTTTGAGTTCAAGTTCGATCGGAGCCACACCATGCACCCGATACGGAGAAAACCCCAAAGCGATTCTGTGATCGGTACGTTTTCTTCTTCCCGTAGAGAAAACCGGCAAAAACGAAACCAATGCAAGTTTTTTTTTTTTAATAAAACTTAACATAAGCCCACTTTTTACAGTTCGAGTTCGACTTGAACGTTTTTCGATTTTACATTTAATTATTGACATTCAATTAGAAAACGCTCCGTATATTATATTGATGAAAAAATTATTTAATTGCTCGTTCTACGTATTTGTTTTCTTTTAGAGTTTGTAAACAGTTATCTTTAAATGGCGTCGGAAACGTCCGACGTTACTTACATTGAGACACTAATTTTTCTGAACTGGACTGAACGAAATTTGCTTTGTTTTCGAGATTCAGAGCTTTAATTTTTTATTTAAACACAATCGGTTTTTCGTTAATTGCTCAAAAATCTGGTATAAATAATTTCCTGCAATTTACAAATACGTAAAGTCCCTTATGGTTGCGAGTCAAAATCGAAGCAAAGATAAGCAAAAAAAAAAAACGGCCTGCATCTCGAAAACGTGCAACGTCTAAGTATTACGCGGGCGTCAAAAAAGGGCAATTCCCCAGCGGAGTCGCCGACGTACGTGGGCCTCGTGAATCAGGCGATGACGTGCTACCTGAACAGCCTGCTGCAGGCGCTGTTCATGACGCCCGAGTTCCGGAACGCCCTGTACATTTGGAAGTTCGACGGCAAAAACGAGACGCGCTCCATCCCGTTCCAGTTGCAGAAGTTGTTCCTCAATTTGCAGACGTCCGGGAAAACGGCGGTCGAGACTACCGACCTCACGACCAGCTTCGGTTGGCAAGGTACATCTTTTTTTTCGACGACCGGAGACACTTGTTCTACCTCGGTTTAGGTAAAAACGGGTATTATCGATAAATTGTCGATAATATATCGACATTTCCAAAAAATAATATCGAACTCGAATAAACGATGCTCAATTTCCTACGTTCGCCGTCAAGAACGACTAGGTTTAGGGGGTAGGGGAACTTTCAGATATTTACGCATAGAAACCATTGGCATCATTAAAAAATTCAAAATTTTCGTATAAAACGTTGAATTTTTTTTGAAAATTCGCGATCCATAAAAGTTGGCGCAAAGGACAGGGGACACCACTCTCAAAAAACGGTTGGTTATTTAATTGGAAATTAAATCCCAGCCAGTGGACAAAACGTAAAATATAAAATGTGTTTTATCGATAAATTGTCGATAATATATCGACATGTCCAAAAAATAATATCGAACTCGAATAAACGATGCTCAATTTTCTACGTTCGCCGTCAAGAACGAGTAGCTAAAATATGAAATGTGTTTTATCGATAAATTGTTGATAATTTTTCGACATATGATGTGAAAGTCAATTTTCAGACCTATTCTATTTCTTTAACATAGGTCTACTGGGTGTCCCACCGAGGGTTCCGAGGTACGGTATTGGAAAAAAAAATTTTTTCAGCAACTGGGCCTAAACAAAGTGCTTAGCTCTGCGGCGACGTAATTACAATGTGTAATTGTAATTTTAAATTATAAAATAGCCAAACAGGTTTTCAACAATGCAGCGACAAAACTTAGATTTTGGTTCTTATTGACTTAACTGACAGTTTCGAAATGCTAAACATAATTAGCTTTTAATCGACTATCCAAAATCAATTAATCGTCGAATGCAAACCAATTTTCTTAATTGTCGAATTGTTTGAGTTAAAGTTAAGCGCATCAAATGGCGCCACGAAAGATGCGCGGAACGTTTGGTACGATAAAAATCTTATCTCCGTCAACCGAGAAGTTTTATTTACTAGTTTATTAGATATTTGACAAGAGCATCGTGTTCAGATTTTCACGGTTATTTATTGATTTTTGACAGTTGTGTGGGCATCACCGTGCCAATAAATAAATGTGACAGTTTGAACATTAATTGTGTTGAATAGATTTTCATCAAGTAAAAACCACCTCAGCTTCAGACTTATATTATACGTACATATTGTATTTGCTCTTTCCTTTTGTTTACTAACTAAAACCAACCAGGAACGACGCATTTTCTATGAGATTTTTTGGTCGAAGCTCACGGTTTCTCGTATATTTTGGGCGGTACGTGAATAAATTAGCATAAGCAGTAACGACGAAAGTGGGTGTTACCTAAAAACATATTTACCCGTACAAGTATATGAGTTTTTCCTCTATTTGGGGCGTTTATCGGAAACCTATATTTTTGCTGGATACATCATCCCAAGCAGGAACGAGATAAGTGCCACCTCTGGGTGCCCAAATTACTTCCATTGTTACCTGAAAACCTGAGTTTTTGGTAAAGTTAGTCGAGGAGGTTCTATTCCGTGGTCGTCTCGGTTAGGTAGCGACGCGTGGCACCAGCACGACATCCAGGAGCTGTGCCGCGTCATGTTCGACGCGCTCGAGCAGAAATTCAAGTCTACGACGCAGGCGAACCTAATCAACGACCTCTACGAGGGCAAAATGTTGGACTACGTCAAGTGTCTGGAGTGCCAGACGGAAAAGTCGCGTGAGGACACGTTCCTCGACATCCCGCTGCCGGTCAGACCGTTCGGTTCTTCCGTCGCCTACAACAGCGTCGAGGAGGCGCTGCGGGCGTTCGTCCAGCCCGAAACTTTGGACGGGAACAACCAGTACTTCTGCGAGAAGTGCGACAAGAAGTGCGACGCGCACAAGGGCCTCAAGTTCATCAAGTTCCCGTACCTGCTGACGTTGCACCTAAAACGCTTCGACTTCGACTACAACACGATGCACCGCATCAAGTTGAACGACAAGTAAGTGTAGTGGCTGTTCAATTTAACATTAAACAAAATGTTTGGCTCTGTGGCAATGTAATTGCAATGTGTAATTGTAATTGTAAATTATAAAATAGCCATCCCGATACCTATCCTAACCTAAAATATAAATAAAAGAATTACGCGGTAGAAAAAGTTGGATTTTGGTTCTTATTGACTTGCCGAACAGTTCCGAAATACTAAACATAATTAGGTTTAATCAACCGGCCAAAATCTATGAATCGTTGAATACAAAACAAATTTTGTTAATTGTCGAATTATTTAAGTAGTAGTAAAGTAATGAAAACGGTAGGCGATTAGAAAAAACAAATAATATCTTACTTCTAAAAAATATCCTTCAGTAACCCCGAGAAACGGCGCGAGTGACAAACACTTTGGGAAATTAAAGCAGGGAATGTGGAAATTATCAAGGGGCATGAAAATGATGTTGTAAACGAAAGTGGTCCAAAAAATGGGAAAATGAAACAAACGAGCTCATTAAATACCGTGGCGACGCAGAACTGCTCGACATTGCGGTGTCTGTTCTCCGTAACGGGGTTGTTTTAAAGTCGGATAACGTTCGAACACCCGGAACTATGCGCTGCGAATTGTAGAAAGTACGCGATATATTAGACCAAAACCCTCAAGTCCCTGGTTAAAACGCGATATAGATTGTATATATACCAAAATTTTGATACACGCCGCGTAGCTCCGTGGATAGTGTTGTAGTAATAGAGATGCATAAAACTACTACAAAGTAATTTAAATGTCAGTGTACTTCAGATAAAAGGGAAAGTTTTTTTTTATTTTTGTCAAATGGTTTTCTATTGAAAAATTTTAATCGACTGAGAGAAAAGGCCATATTGAAATTTTTGAACCCTATTGTCCGCAATACTATTAGAGCTGTCGAAAGTCACTTCCGGTAAAACCGCGTTGTTCACTTGTTTTATACTTTATTTATATAACATATCTAATTTTCATCTCCATTTATTTTTTTTGTACATAGTTATATTTAAATTTTTAATTTTGCCATTCGGTTAAATCAATCAAAGTTAAAAAGGTTAAGCTTAAACCTCTCAGCACGAAAACATCCCGTTACGTTTTTAACGTTAAATTTGTACTTTTTTTTATTCAATAAAAAATATAAATCCGCGAATGCCCCATTATTTTAATATTCCGGTGCAAGGGTCGTCTTCCCCGAAAAACTAAACCTGAACACGTTCATAACGGCGACGGCGAGGGCGGACGACGAACCGCCCCCGGACGAGCGGGAGGCGGTGGTCAAGTGCGACGAGTGCAGCACCGCAGACTCCGGCTCGGCGGACGACGAGAGCTGCCAGGGCACCGACATGTCTTCCACGATCAACGGCCAGGACGACAATTGCGGCGACAGCGACGAAGGTGAGCGCAAACGACCATTTTTTTGACCCTATAATTAATATGTCTAAATTTCAATTCGATTGTCGTGAGTAGAATAGCGGTGAGTAAATGGACCGTTTTAAATTTGATCAAGCGGGGTATTTTTGAATAAGTAGAAGCGTTTATTTTAAAATCAGGTGATATGTATCGTTTTTAAGTTTAATCTGAATTGCAATATGTTCGTATATATTGCGGAGCTATTTGAATATGATCCTTCTCGAGCTTTGACCCCGCGAGGATGGTTTCACTGGATAGTTGAAAGGATAAGGGTACTCTATTTACCTTACAGGTAAGTTCGAGAATAATCATTTTTGAATCATGTGCCTGTCTTCTTCTTGTATTTTTATGTCTTGTACATAGGTCTTCGATTTGTAAAAAAAAGTCTTTTTTTAGATAAAGGTACGTCATAAGAATACAGGTAAATATTTATTAGAATCTTACAATTACTGCTTAGTTTTTAAGAGACCGTGGAATAAAGCAGATGTTCTCCTGTTTGAAGAAGACGTGGAAAACAACGCAGAATTTGAAGACGAAGTGGAGATGGTAATTTAGAATAGGAACTACCTCAGCAAATAAAAAAACGCATCCATTGGTCTTCGAATGTTAAAAAAATTGTTTCGAATGGGATAGTCAAGGGCAAAATGAGAGAAGATGCAGGCACTTCTCGAGTTTATAAAGAATAGCACGCAGATCTAATTAAACATATAATCTACGACGCTTATAAATAGTGAATAGTGTTTTAACCCTAGAAGAACTGCATACAAAAGTACAGACATTAGTTGTGAGAAGGAGTCGTTTGCGTACTTTTTTGAAGAAAATGGATTTTCAGTTCCAAACAATTAATAAACGTGACGACAGTAGCGTTAGTGATGATTTTTTAAGTGACTTATACTTTATTATTATTATTATTATTATTATTATTATTATTATTATTATTATTATTATTATATTTAATGTTTTGTATATTAATAATAAATAATGAATTGTTACTTTGTACTAATTTTTTGCAAGATTGAAAACTTACTTACCTATATCCTGCTTGTTAGATAAATTCCTAGGACTGTCCTGGAATAGTTACGGGTAAGGGTTAATCACAAAAGCACTATATTTCTGATGGAAGTGTACCTACTGTAAGACCGTTCTTCCGGAGCTGAATGTTGAGAGACTTTTAACGCGCAGGTATCGACGTAAGTTCGGGCACGAATCACCGCGAGAACGACGCGAAGGGCCCGTACGTCTACGAGCTGTTCAGCATAATGATCCATTCGGGCAGCGCGTCCGGCGGACATTACTACGCCTACATCAAAGACTTCGACAAGGCGAGGTGGTACTGTTTCAACGACCAGACGGTCGGTCCCATCACCGAGGACGACATCAAGAAGACGTACGGGGGCGGGCCGCAGCGCGGCTACTACAGCGGCGTCTACAGTTCGAGCACGAACGCGTACATGCTGATGTACCGGCAGATCGACGGGGGGCGGAACGCGCGCGCCATGACGGTCGCCGAGTTCCCGCCCCACATAGAGGCGCTGCTGCGTGACATGCGCGATAGGGAGGAGCGGGACCGCCTCAACCGCCAGAAGGAGGACGAGATGGTCAAGATCGGGGTGGTGTGCACGCATCCCGTCACCAACAACACGCTCGAGATGAAAATATCCGTAAGGGGTTTTTGTTTATTATTTGATATAATCGTCAGCAACAAAACTAACAGGCAGATATTGAAATAAAAATTGGAAAATCTTCCACTAAATGGTCGCATTCTGCACACTTTGTATCAGTCCCATAGAATCTCTACCCTTTTTTACAAATCTCCTTCTACATCCCGTTGGTTTTTTCAGAGCTCTAAACCACCGACCTTAACCGCGATTCAATATCCAATTTCAGTTGATTTTGGTTAGTTCTTCTTTGGGTTTGTATTTGTTAGGTGAACTCTTCGGGTGGATTATCTTCCTTATCTGCTATGGTTTTGATTTATTTCATTTTTTAATGAGTGTGTACCGCGATGATGTTAATGTTTGATGATAATTATTATACGTGCGCGCAGACGTTCATGGACTCGACACTGGCCGAGCTGGCCAGACACGCCCACTCCCGTTTCAAGCTCGACAACGTGGTCGATCCGCAGGACTGCCGCATCGTGATGTACAATAAGAAATCGAATTGCATCGATTGCAGCTTCGACAGCGACGAGACGAAACTGAACGAGTTGGTGAGGAAAGTGGACATGATCTTCTACACCGAATGGATGCTGGAGATCAGGGAGCCGGGTGAGATATTTGACGATAACGAGAACGGTGATCTATGCAACGAAAACGTTAGAAAAGATTCCCTTTTCGACTATTACAATTTTTAACCTTTGCTTCTTAAGTGTAATTTTGAATTTATTGTACAACTTCTTTGGCCCACCATTAAGCAAAATCTGTGGTACTTGATCGTAGGTCTGGATGATATTAACAATCAGTTTTCTCACTAGTATTTTCTACAATTTTTGTATTTTCGGTGTTGTAACTACGTTTATCCTAATTTTAAACATAGTTATTGCTCCTATTTTTTCGTTTATTTTTGAATATTATACAAATGTTTTGGAGATTATTTTACTATCTCGGGAGCCCTGTCTGTCCTTTTCTGGAGACGCCCGTCCTGTTCTGGTTCTGGGATTTTTCAAAATATTTAGAAAATATTTTGTAGGTTATGTAACTACTGGTAATAAATTGGAGACGCCCGTTCTTTTCTGGTTCTTGCGAAAATATTTTTCAGCGCTTTTTTTTATTTCTGTACTACACTACTACAAGCTGATTCATTTTTTTTTAAACAAAAAAAATATTTTGTAGGTTATGGCACTACTCTTATACGATTAGTCCTTGTGAAAGTATTTTATAACATTCAATTTCGATTTTCGATATAATTTAAGAGAGATTTATGCTAGGAAGTGTCACACCAAACATCATAGTCACGCTTCTGCTCACAGGATCTTTTTTAATTTTCAGAATCGGTGTGACGCTTTAAACCCAACTGGGAATTTTTTAACCGAAGGTGCCCAGAAAAAATATATTCGCTGTTTAAAAGTCCCCACAACTGGCAAACTAACTGACGGGGTCGTCTCATTTTCAGGCGAAAGTGTAGCTTAAAGTCCGACTTGAAAATGTCACTGTAGACGCAGTTGTATATTTGCACGAGAATGTACAACGCATTCTCGAGGTTCATCCAATGTGCGCGGCTTTTGTCGATAAACGACCTCCTGTAGCGCTCCCCACAGCTAACAGTCCAGAGGAGTTAAGGACGAAACGAACACATTGGCGAATATTTCGAACAACCATAGTGACATCTTTAACTCGGACTTTAAATTTTATTTCACCTTTTGCTATATATACAGGGGAGCCAATATTCGGGCACCTAAAAAGTTACATGGGATTTCCGTTCGGGCCTATCCTTGGATCAGAAATATAGTGCTTTTACAATTGACCCCGTGATTAACTTTGCCTACTGTTTATTACTCCAAAACCGCTGCCGCTTACTAGCAAGCGGGATATAAGTGTGTTTTCAATCTTTTTCGCCTAAAAACTCTTGAAACGTGTACATAATAAAAAATTAATACAATGTAACAGTTTATTACGTTCTATTTCATAACATTTCTACATAGTATCATTATTAATATAGAAAATATTAAATATAATAGTAATAAAGTATCAGTCACTTAAAAAATCGTCACTATCGCTGCTGTCGTCACCTAGTTCAATGATCAACTCCGTCACTAATCGTTCTAGATAAATATTTTCTTTATTTATTACTCGTTTTTCGCACTTAGACTTAATTTTTTCTTTATTTTAATTCATCTAATTTGGGCTGAATGATACGAGGCATTATCCAACACAATAACAGTATTTGGCGATTGTTTCGGCAACAGTTTATTTTATCATAATTTCATGGTAATCCACACTTGGCACGTTTTTGGCAGAAAAAAATAAGGCACCTTCCACCCAACCATTTTTGGACCCAGCATGAAGAATTCTTATTAAGATCTCCACTTCGTCTTCAAATTACGCGTTGTTTTCCATGTCTTTTTTACATATTTATTTAAACGATTCTACGTATTCGAAAATACCCCGCAGCATTAATGCTTAATTAAATTTAAAATCTCAAAGGAAAATTTCAATTCGTTCCCGCGAAGGTGTGCGGTTAAGATACCGTAAAACACTTAAAACATCAAAGCAATAAATGCAGCTGATATAATTTCCGCATTAAGATTGTTTTATTATTTTGGCAATTTGTTTCGTTCGGGTCATCGTTTGATTTATCGGAAAACGGAATTTTTATTTACGGTGTCGCGCGTGTGTAGGCACGCCGTGGAAGGTGTACAAACGGGGCGGGGTCAACGTTAAAGTTTACCCGGTGAACGTAGACGCCGAGGACGTGGACGAGCCGTTCTTGGTGAGGGTCGATATCGGCGAAACGTTCGGCGAATTCCGTCGCAACGTGGGCGAACTGCTCGGAACCGACGCCGACGAACTCGCCGTGGTCTACGAGTCGTTTAACGGCGAACCGAGGCTGCTCGTCGACGACGACGAAGTGGTCAAGCTCGACTACAACTGTCCGAACGTGTTTTACGTCGCGCGATTGCCGTCCGACCACGCCCACCACCTCGCGCGTCTCAAATCGGTCGCCGCCCGCTACGAGTACGTCATCGGTATCAGCGTGACGTTGCCGGACACGGACGAGTCGACGCTGGAAATGATGTCGATACCGATGCTCGACCTCAACCGGAACGTGGACAGGGACGCGGCGGGATCACCGGGGGGCGGCGGCGGCGGCGGCGGCGCGGGCGACGGCTACGACCAGAGCAACAGCGAGGATAGTCTGAGCGACAGCGACAGGACGCTGATTGGTGACGCACCCGGTAAGATCCGAAATCCCTTATCGCAAAATTTAGCAAAAAATGACCCCCCCCCCACCCCGAAAATAATCGCGAAAAGTTGAAGCTCAATTCTTGAACACTGAAAGTAATATTCAAAAATTCGTGAATGCAACCAATCGAGTTAAAAAGTCGATATCACCAGAACCAGAGCCATGCATTTAGCTAAATAAAGTGAGCAAATACAACTGTCATTCCAATTACTAATTATATTTATCCGATTTGTCTAATAAGAATCAATAATAGTAGTAGTACTGACAACGCTAAGAGTCTCTATAAACGGTTTATGTTTTCCTATTACCATGCTATTCATGTAGAAAGATGCCAATTTCCTGATATATCTCTTGATACGAATAAACCAAATGTTTTAAGTTTACTATTTTAGGGGGTGCCCACTAATGACTCTCGTATTGCATTTTTATTAAAAGTTGTTGTAGAAAAACCAATTTCCAGCGGCGTCCTTTAAGGGCCTGTAGAAAAGGAAATTACCGAAAAAAAAAAGATAAATTTATCATAGAACGTTTCTGATAAAAATGGCCGGAAATAACTGCTCTTTCCATTTGACAGTGCTGGTTATTTTGTGTGCTTACACATATTTCTAAATTTTTTAGAAATGAAAGCTGAAAAATTAAGTTTCGAGTAAGAATTTTGATATTTTCATAGAAAATTACTTATTGGATTGACGACGACGCGCTAGATGTGTCGAAAAATAACAAAATTTTTGTTGGCACAGACTATCCTCCCCCTCTCTCGAGCAGTTCGCCGTCCTCGGCGACGGATCAGCACATGTCGTCTCCCTCGGACCCCTGCCAGGATACCTACAACTACGATGTGATGGGCAGGCCCGGTGAGGAAATGCACTGGGATTATTCGGAAACCGCTCATCGCAATTACGTCTTTAAGGTATTCTTGAATTTTTGTGAAAATAGATCCGTCAATAATTTTATTCTATTAGTCCTGAATGATATAAATGGGGAAAAAGGCAAATATAATAACACAAAACTTGTCGCTTGTGTTTATTCGCCATTTTTTAAAGGTTCAAATTTTCGAATACCTTGACTTTTGTATTTTTGCAATGTAATTTTTAATTGGTCACAATATCTAAATTGCGAGAGTACAAGAGATTCACGCCGAACCACCCCAATAATAAAATATAAAACTTTCTTTTTCCAAGAACGGGTACGCCGTAGCGAACAACGTTTTCTTGTTACTTTCGAAAAATTCAATTTCTCGAAAATAACGTTCATCTTTCTTTTTTCGATTTTCAACTGTTTTTTGGACATTGCTCCGAAAGTTGAAGCTATCGACTTCAAATTTCAAAAAAGGGGTGGGGAGTTAGCGGTAAATGAAAAACTTTTAAACATGGGATAATTTGGTTTAAAGAGTGTCGTAAACTGTATCGAGAGTTTCAGGTTTCGTCTATTATACAGGGTGCGCGAGGTGTTTGAAAAAAATTTACTGGAAATCGCTATTATTTGTACAAATTTTTGTATTTACCAAAGTGTGTCGTGACTTTGAAGTTCGGCGAGATGAGAATGACACTTAATACAGGGTGCATGCAGAATTAAAGTACATCCATTTTGCGAAAGTTCCATATTGGTCCGCAGGAGCACGATAGAAAAACAATATGTCCCTTTACCACAAGTAACCGCGAAGTGGCTTATTTTCCAAATTCAAAACTGCTTCGCACCAAGCGATACCGACGATTTTTTGAAGGCAATCTTGTTTTCTTGTTTTTTTTTTTACTCTACGCAGGTGACGAGTGTGGTGCCGTTCACCAATCACGACGCGGACGAGCCGAAACGGTCCAGGTGCTGCAAGGTAAACGCGCACGCGGAGATAGTACACGAAATTGCGTTGACCTTGTCCCTCGTTAGATTCTAGTCGACAAGCGCATGTCCCTGGGAAACCTCAAGAAGCACCTGGAGCCGGTGCTCAGGGTTCCCTCGGAATACTTCAAGGTGTACAAGCAGCATCCGATATCCGAGGAGGAATGGTACAGCCTGAACGACACCCTCAGGTCGATCAAGGACGGGGAGAGGTTGTCGCTGAGGTTGGACCGCGTGCTCAAAGAGGACGAGCACAGCTGCAAGATTTACCACTTGAAGCTGGACAACGCGGATCCGAACTGTTTTCTCTTTGAGCACGTCATGTCCAAAGACCAGACGGTCGGCGCGGTGAAATGGGAGATACTCGCGCAGGCGAAGAAACGCGGTGTTCTCGACATCCCGTTCGAGAGGTGTCGATTGCGCGAGAAGAACTGGAAAAAGGTGAGGCGACGTGGCCCGTCTATTGCCCGCGCGACGTTCGTTTTTTTTTTTCGCCTGCAGCCGAGGAAAGTGTACCTGGACGATCAGAAGTTCGACTCGGACATCACCATCATGTACCCGTTCGAGTTGTTCCTGCAGGAACTCGCGGAGCCCGAGTGCGTGACCTCCGAGAACCAGGTGGTCGTGTTCACGAGGAGGTGGAGCCCGTCGACGCTGACCTTGGGTCCGCTCCAAGGTACACAGTGCTCGACTTCGCGTAAAGTTTTTGGCATTTTTAACTGAATACAATATATATTTTTTCCTGGGAAATTTGAAATAACGTATAATTTTAAATTTCCGGCGATCGGTGTGGCAAAAAAACCTTTTACAATAAATATAAATTAAAACTTTATTCTTAATAGATTTGCTAAACTCAATCGGGTACTAAATTAAACTTAGCTTTATGGTATGTTAATTGTGATAATAGTATAGAAATAAAATGTTTTTATCTTAAAGCGCGTAAAATTTCGACTTGGTTTATAAAGTTCTTGGTAGGTTTTTTTTTTTCCAAAAACTTTCTTTCTTTCTTTGCTTCAGTTAATTATAGAAGAATAAGTCTCAAATTCTTAGAAATACGTCGGAATTTCTTTCAAATCAGAATTTTTGAAAAATATATTAGAATCTTCCACTGAGTCAGAATTCATCAGAAGATCTGAGAGACCAGTTATATTTTCTGAGTTAAGTCAGAAGTTTTAAGAAACAAGTCAGATTTTCCGACTTGCTTCATAATTTCTGAGAAACAAATCAGAAATAATTATCAATAATCAATAATTTGTGGGAAACATGATAGAATTTTTGACTTAAGTCAGCATTTCGGGAAAACACGTAAGAATTTCTGAAGATCGAAACGAAAATTCTACGAAACAATTTATAATTGCGAAACAAGTCAGATTTTCTAAGTTAATTAATAATTCCCGACAACTAATGATGTCTGAGAAACATGTCACAATTCCTGAGAAACAAGTCAGACTTTCTGAGAAATTTGCCAGATTTTAAAGAAATATTTCTGAAAGGCAAGTCAAATTAATGATAGGAAAGTCGGTTTAATCTACCCGATTGATAAACTTAAAAAAAAAATGAGAATCTAAAGAAAAAGGCAGCGGAGTGTTGCAAAAAGTCACAAGTAATGGACGTCTCGCTTCATCGTTTCGCGTTTCTATTGACAGAGGTCGTGCTCGACGTGGTGACGTTGGCCGATTTGCGGACGAAAATTTCCACCCAGTCGGGTATCCCGAAGGAATCGCTCGACCTGACCTGCGTCAAGCCTAATTTCCCGTCCGACATGCACGTCCTCGAGATCGACGACGATCTGGACTGGAACCCGAACGGGATGACGCTAAGCCGATGGGAGCAAAACATCGACGACGGCTCGTTGTTCTTCTACAAGTGAGTCGCGTCGGCTTTTTTTTTTTTGCTCGCACGATCTGTTTTATTTTTTTTCGCAGGGATAGCAGGGAGGAACCGAAAGAGTTGACGCGCGATGAGCGGAAGGAGATCAAGCAGAAGGAGGACGCGCGCCTCGGCAGGTTCGTCATAAAAAATTACTCGCCCGGACGGGAGAGGGCGCTCAAGATCTACCTGGACACGTCGCCCTCGAAGACGGACGATTGCCGCGGGTGAGTGTCGGTCGCCGTTGTCTGGGTCCTTCGAAAAGAGACTTGGACAACATTCAAGACCACGCCCATTAACTTACACTTTCCTGTTCCTTCGAACGTGCTTAAAGTTTCGTCAATTATTCTGTTGGCCTCTTCAGAGAAACTTAAAAGGAAGAAATTTTTGAGTTTGCTTGAATAAGTTGATAGTTTGTTTGTGCATTGAAGATGTTGGCAAATTTTTGGACGACTGGTAAATCTGACCGTAACTTTCGATATATGATCGGTGATGTTTCGAATGTGAAAGTGGATCAGGGTGGTAAGTGTGTGGTTACTTTCGGAAGCATTTTTTCTTTGGGAATTTGTGATGGAACGCTTAATATCTGAATATATGAAATTATTTTAGGGCTCTGCAAATAAGCGAGTTGCGCGAATGGCCCCACGTTAGGCCTGTTTTCAATTCAATGGTAAAACTCATGCCAGGGTGTCGGGAGGCCCAAATAACAGTCGAAAATTTTGCCACGGCAAGGGCCGCCCCAAGATGATGTGGACAGTCAATATCCTGCGAATTTCTTCAATTTTTCCTAAATTTTCAACATAGCTGTTTTCGTCGAAAATCTAAAGAAAATGGCAGGATTTTACACAATCTCCCAGGGAAAAAGAGTATGGAAGTAACCCCCCCCCCCCCGACTGGCCCGTGGTCCTTGAAATTCAAAACGTCATTGACCACATTCTTAGGAAATATAATTTTACCATTTTTCAAGGATCCCTCGCGCCAATATGACGAGACAGTATTCACGTTCCTCCTACAGCCCCTCCCCCACTTAGACCGTATATAAACGGGTGCAGAGTAGAAGGTTTTTTTTGAAAAATTAACGGTTTTCTGAATTAAATCCATTGATGAAAGACGAACATGCCTGGGCAACATTCGGAAAATTGATTTTTTATCCTAAAGAATAAAAAATATCCGCAATACTCGAATACCAGAAGTTTTAACCAATGTGTACCGCCGATACTTACAATATGGACGTTTACAAAGGTTAACTAACGTAAGCAAAATAAAAAAATGCATAAAATATTGTAAAAAAAAAAATATTTGGAGGCGACATTTCGAAGGGTCTTAGAAAGCTCTCTTCGAAATTATTTAGTAGTATTTCTTTCTGGCAGTAGTGATTATAAAAACAATTTTATCAATTTTTTGAGAGTAAGTCTCCGGAATTTGGTAGGAACGTCAAAGTAACGTAACGTAACGTAACCTGATTTTAACAAAAAATTGTTTATTTTCTATAAAAAAAGAAAATTAATTTCGGGAAAATTTGTACACGAGAAAACGGTGGCCGTCGGGGGCTACAGTTTATTTTCCGAGATTTTTTTATTACGTACCGGGTGTGCCGGCTATGAGCGGGAATGAAAATCTTCGAAAGTTGCCCGTTTTTTAATTAAAAAAAGTTCTTATTTTTTGTTCCTATTCCCTTAATTCTCAAAGACGTATTTGTGATACTTTCGACTGCAGCTGAGTGGTTGTTTTTGATAAGAGGGCTCTGTGAGATCATGCAAAATGTCCACTAAAAATTTTATGATGTAACACTTTTTTTTTCACGTATTCTCGATATTAAAAAAAGTCTTTTGGTTAGTTTTGGTTCCACTTTGGCAGAAAGCTTTCCAAAACCTTTCAAAATGTCCCCTTCAAATTTTTGTTGCAGTCATTTTTTTGATTACTTACAGGGTGCATCTGTTACCGGCGAAAAGCCGGTATTATAAGGGTTGAATCGAAGGTGAGAATTTTCGAAAAAATGTAGTCGAAGATCGTTTCAAATTTTTATATTTGACGTGGCTTTGAAGTTTATGTAAGGAACGTTGTTTTTTCGGTTCAGGAGAGAGGGCGAGGAACAACAGGCGAGGGGCTCGAAGTGCGACGTGGAATCGGACGACGGGATCGACTGACGCGGCGACAGCCGCGCCCCGCCCCCGTCTTACTGCGTCCTCAGCTGAGCGAGCCGCCCCCGCCGTCCGCCTCCAGATTTTTCCGTGCCGGTTTATTAATTTAGACGTGTTGGCGTAGCTGCCCGAGCTAAGGAACAATGGGCGGGGCACGCGGTTTCCGGATTTTTCTCCAAGGAAAAGATATAACCTATTTTTTTCGCGCTCTAACTGTTTTTTTTTTGTTTCGAAAAACGCTGTTTTTTTTGCAAGCAGGCGAAAAAGATATTCGGCCATTGTTCCCTAACTTTTATATGGTTACCGACCGCTTTTTTTTTCGCGCCAGCGTCGTCGTTTTCGGGAGGGCCGTCTTCGGTAGTTCAAACGTACCAAAGCGTCGACGCGCGACGCTGGCATGTTTTAAGTATTTATTGCGATTTTACATTATTATTACGTTTATTCCCGTCGCACGCGTCGTCGCCTCTTTCGTCATAAAGTTTACCATCGTTATTATTATCATTGTCGTTTATTTTTTTTTGTTACCGCGGTGTCCATTTGGGTTTCGTTTTCACCTGCGGTTTTTCTATCAAATTCAACTTAAAAAGAAAAAAAAAGTGTAAATAAATCGACGTTTGACCAGTTAAATTTCATTTTCTTATTTGAATCGGGAAGGGGGAGGGGGTGTTTTTTTTTGTATAATGACAAACGCGTCATCGCTCGTCGTTATACGGCTAACTTGTATAGATATTTATTTGCGACTGAATAATGAATAATAAAAACACCGTTTATCTAATTCGTTTTTTTTTTTTTTTGGGTAGGATGGTGAAGGGAGGAGGGATATAACGCCCTTTGTTTATGAAACAATCTTTATTTTTCCGACTACTCCCTGAAAACCAGCTCGAATCGAAATGAATCAACTATTGAGTGAAAAGTTACTTGAAGCATACAATTTTTCAAAAGGAACAAAAAAAGAAATTACAACTCCAATGTGAATGGTAACCATATAAAATATTAAGGAAAGTACTTTTCCTTTGAATGGGTGCTTGAAAAAATGCAAATTCTGCTGACATTTTTAAATCGGCAAGTTTGTTTTCTGCTAGACCCAAATGCAAATTAAATTATTTTCATCAAAATTATCGTCGAGTTAACTCTGATTTAAAAGGTTTTTCTAATATTGATATGTCCATCGCTGTACAAAGTACTTTCTCCAATAAAAAAATATTCAAACGACACTTGTCGCCGTTTTCCGTTGGAAACGATCGCAACGTGGGAAAATAACAGTAATTATTCCTTTCAAGACGAGAAATAAACGATCTGAAGCTGGAAATTTGATTTCTGTAAATGGCACGTCGATTAAGTTTCCTTTTAGTATTACAGGTTAGTTGTAACGCCCACAAGTTAAATGCAATAGTTCTGGTTCATTGTTACCCTTTTTCTGCCAAAAAAATTTCAATCGCATCTAAAGAATATTTTGGAAACTTTTCCACGGCTGAGCCATCTTACTTTTATTATTATTTGTACCATCAGTGGCCACATTTTTTGAGATCCTGGTTATCTAACAGGTCCAAAGATTTATCTTCGCTTCTTGTATACCCATGGAGGCTTTTTAATGCAGCAAGTTCTTCTGTTACACAAAATTGTTTATCAATTCCACTCACAATGGGGCAGTGCTAGTTATTTCGTTGCTTTCGAGTGCAAAAATTTCCATTAAATTTATTAAACATATCAATTGATATCGTTTCAATACGTCTGTTACGGTTGCATTTGAAAACTATTTCATGTTTAAAAATTTCCTGTTTGTCTCTTTTTAATTCCTACGAAATAAATATTGAATGTTTACTTCGTAAAATTGAAATGACACTACGGATTTCCACAGAATACTAAGATTAATTTTGGCGAGTTTAATTACTATGGTTGAGTAATATTACAGAATGGTAATATTTTTATGTCTTTAAGTTATCAAATTCGAATAGTTACCAAGAATTATAATCACATTGCGCCAAATAAAGATAACAGATGTACCGAAATTGTTCGTTCAACCATTTTCCGTTCATTTCTTGGATCGTGTTCATGTTTCCCTTTTGTTTTACTCTATTCGTTCGGATTTACATGACCGGTTTATGACGTCATTATGCTGCTATGGTGTTTATATTCCCTAAAGATGGAACGCTGATAGGTCGGCATACCTATATGACAAGTAGAACGAGAAAAAAAACAAAAACAAAACAAACAATTTGAAATAATGTTGGTACGTGGGTGATTCCTCAGATCATGGTGATATAAAAATGCTTTTCGTACAAGTAAGAAAAACCTTTATTTTTTCAAGTACGCGGTTCACATCCACATTTTGCACGACATTTTTACGAACGAGCGGTAAAATCTATAAAGAATCAACAATTACGTTAAAAGCTAATTAAAATATCCGCCGCTGACGGTAATCCTAAAAAGGTCATTTAAAAGACGAATATTCGCGTTTCTTGATGCCGCGCACATTTTCCGCTCCTCTATATAATACACTGTCGCACTCGTGGGCGTTCGCCCTTGCTATTTTTTATGAAATAAACTGTATCGCCAGTCAATATGTACAGTATTTTTTAAAGCTCCCCCCCTCCTAGCCGATTGGTTTTGGTCATTTAAGTCTCCGTTAAAGATACCAAAATTGTTAGTTAGACGTGCTCATCGTTCTTGGTAGCATTTTTGGTCCCCTATTTTCAAATATTTTAAACGATTGTGGAGAATAGGACCCTACAAGACCGACCAAGGTACTTGCTGATGTAATTTTCGCGTCACCTGACCAGTTTGTAACGTCGTTATAACTTTAAGGTTGGGACGTTTTTAAACCGACCGAACCTCTGATGGTTATAAATAAGCCAAGTATAAAATATTAAAAATTAACTTCTCAAAAGAGGACGAGAGATCCAAATCCGATATAATTTTTTCAAAATTCACATTTTGCCCCATAACGGGGCCAAGAAACTTCTAGTCACGTCAGTTTTAGCGGAAAATTTTCGCGAGAGTTTGGTCGCGGATTTTTATTGACGTCCCTCTGGCGTCGTAAAATAATTTATAAAAAACACGTCAGAAGAGCAGTTGTAATTGAAAGAAACGTAACTTTACGAGTCTAACGGGAATGGTCGAAGGATTAAATGGCCGGTGCAAACGCCTTATTGATGTCAGGAAGAGGATAGCGTGCTACCCGTTGGTGAGTCCTAAAGCGTCACAAAATAAGTTAAGCCAAAAATTGACGTCAGGGAGACGATAATTTTGGTAATTAGAAAAAACCCTACTTTATAAGTCCATCGGTTATCATGAGAGGAAAAATGGTCGACGCGAACGCCCCGAAAAAATATCACAATGTCGGTATAACGAAATTGCACTTTCACGGAATGTATTCGAATACGATAATAAATAATTCCCTCGTCTCGTTTTGTACAATATTTACAAAGATGGCGGCGGCGCGCCGTCAGACGTAATCAGATGGCGCGTTGCCCACGTTCTCGCTGATGGCCGCCAGCCTAATGGCGGCCGGTCGCCTCGTGTCGGAGGCGGTGTTGCCGCACGCGTCCCACGTCGGCATCGTTGCCAGACCGACGACTTCGTACGCCCGTTCCGGCACCGTCGTTACCGACAGGTCCGAATAGTAGGCGCTAGATGGCGCGCTCGACGCGGGCGCGTCCGGATCCGCGTACGCGGAGTTCTGGTAAGCCGGCGAGTCGCTGTCTGCAACATTTAAAATGTGCCCCATAAAAGTTGACATAACACATAAAAGAAAAATAAAGTATATTTTTCTAATATCGGTAATACCAATTTAGATTTTCTAATGAAATTTTTTACACGTGTACCATGTATTCGGAAGAAGTATTTAGTGTACCATAATGCTTTTAAAAATATACCAGTGGCGGGTGAACGGAATTTCATCAGCCTATTTTGACAGACATCGATGAGACGCCACTGGTTTCTTTTAAAATAAAAAATATTCTTACAATCTCTTTAATTTCAGCATGCATTATTATATCTTATATCTGAGGTGTATTTTTGAAATATTCTATTGTCAAGACGGTTGTGGGACAGTTGTTTGACATCAGGTTTCAAATTTTTAATAGGTTGGTGTTTAAAATATCCAAGTATTGTTTAATTGTTTGCGTATGGTTTGGCTGAAGCTAGGCGATTAATAGGCGAAAAAGGTACTTTGAGAGCAAATAATCAGTTAAAAGGGACCCATCGGATTGTAAGAATTCCAGGAATTGAAGAAGCAGTTTTAAATTCAAACATAGTCCAAAAAAAAAGAAAATAATCCCAATATCTTGCACGTTTTGATTTGGAATATTTTGCACGATTTTCTATTGCATCCATATCATATTCAACGAGTTCAAGCGTTACTGCCCAGTTTGTGGACCAAGTTGCGCGTTATCTCTTGTTTGACCAAGAAATGCCATTTACAGATGAAGCTAACTTATCCAGAAATCCAGAAATATTTCGACTGATGAAAACCTCCATGCCATGGTCGAATTTAAACATCAAACAACTGGAATTGTTGGAAGGACAACTGTTCTATCAAAAGACCTTTACGTTGGATACCGACAACCTACTTTTTTTCAAAAAAAATGTTATTAATTTGACTATTTTGTTAAAAATTATTTTAAATTAGGTAGGTTTTTTTTTTAATAAGAATCGTTTATTAAAAGTAAAAAGAACAAAACAATACAATTTTTTCTGAAGGACACTAGTTGCTAACAAAAAACTAGGTATTTTGTTTTAGATATCAACGTTATTGCTATGGCCATGCCGAGAAATTAAATTTCTTTAGAAATGATCGGACATTGTAAGAATGATTTTTATTTTAAGAGAAATCAGTGGCGTATCATCGATGCCTACCATAATAGACGCCCGCCGCTGGTGTATTTTAAAAAAAGTGTGGTACACTTAATAATGCCTCTTGATACGTGGTACAAGTGTCCCAAATTTCATTAAAGTGCGGCATTACAGATATTTAAAAAATCAATATTTTTAAATGGACCCAAAAATCAGCACCTTAATTGTTGACGTTCAATTGGAAAACACCCCGTATATTTGGACCCGCAAAACGGAGGACAGGCATCGCTGAATAAGTAAAAGTATTTCGTTCGCCCTCCCTTGTTAAGCAAAATAAGTCGAGAAATCTTTTAGAAAAAACGACTTTGACATTTTGACTTTAAATGGAAATATTCTTGTATTGAACTGAGGTGGCTTTTACTTGATGAAAATCCATTTATCAAAATAAATAAGAACTAAAAGTTCAGATTTTCACGAAATTATATATTATGACATGACAATTGTTTTGACAACACCGTGTAATATTTACCAATTACCTGCTACTATATATACCGAAAAATGACCATAATTATATTGTAAATCCTTCAAGAAACGAGCGTTTAAAAACATTAGTCTAGATTCTAATTATTCTACACACTTAAACACAGAAAAACACATTTTTGATTAAAATTTTGATATTTCACATACAGCCACGAAAAGTAGACAATTAAATTTATTGGAAGCCATGGAGATTCACAAAATGGGACATTCAAATGTATTGCTTAACAATCAATTAGATTTAAATACATCTCCTCTATTGAACTTAAAATCTCACAACAACATTAATTAAGGTTTATGGTCATTTTTCGGTATATATAGTAGCAGGTAGCTTGTAAATATTACATTTGATTTGTTGTCGAAATAATTGTCACGTAAAAATACATAATTTCGTGAAAAGCTTAAGTGTTTCGCTCACCTCTGTCGTCGGCGGAGCTGTTCCCGTCGAGTTCCGCGTAGAGGGCCTCCTCCACGTTGTAATTGTCCTCCATGTGGGTGTAGTGGTTCTCGACCTGCGAGCCGGGGTGGTTGTTGAGGTTGGTCGGGGGCGTGGAAGCCCTTCTGGCCAGCCACGACCACACCCCGTTGGAGTTGGGCGCCATCGGCACGTTCGGGAAAGTGGGCGGGGCGATGGTGGTGACGTCTTTGTCGTCGGGCGACGTCGGTGGTGGCCGGGGGGGTATCCGTTGGCTGAGCGATATATCGTGTTCCCCGTCTGACGACATAGAGGAATTTTGAAAAATCGCGCCTCCGCCATCGGTCATGATTTCTTTGCCGCTGACTAAATTTAGACCTGATTGCTGATTGCACCAATCTATAATTGACACAATCAAACAATTCGCTTGCTGAGATTATTTCTAAAATGTCGTTTTTCTCAAAAAAAAAAATCCTTTCGGATATAAAAAAGAAAAAGAAAATTTTTTAAGAAACGCAATTCGTACCTAATCGAATATACCCGGGACTAATCAAGCCCAAATATACTTTAGTGAGGCTCGAAAGACATTAAAGCAAACGGGAAACCTGTATTGTTTACTATAAACATTAAAACAACAATAAGAGGTATTAAGTCACCCGTGAAACGGAGTCTCATTTAGATTTAGATTTACGCACAAAGCACTTTCATCGAACTGTCTATCGGAAGGTAACCTTTTTGATGTTAAAAAATCCGTAGTTACTTTCGACTGCGATTATTTAAGGTTTTTTAAAAATATAAAGATTTTGTATTACATTATGTTACATTTTTAATTAATTTTATTACACTAACAGTGACAGCTTCTGATATTATAATTTTGCTTGGTGCCACCAATGTTCTATGGTGTTGAATAGACAATGATATGGAGGAAGACTTGAAACTGTATATTGGAGTGTGGCACGGCTAACAATTATGTTAATTTCATCTTTTTCTTGCTTCCTTTTCAGTTTATTGAAACTTCTTTCTTATTGTTTTTTTTTTAATTTGACTTGCCTCTAATGACACCTATGAATAAATTATTAATGGTTGAGAGATACGATATACTTCGAGACACACTATACCGACGCCAGGGCGCACTGTTGCCGAATTGCCAGTTTTCCTGAAAGTTTGTGATCGATTGGTTGCTTTAATGTCTTAGCCGAGACTGAACTAATTTATGGGATAGTCGCGACGACGCTATCAACGAAAAAAAACGCATTTCTGAATTCCCGATTGCCCCGAAAACCGACCGCAAAAACGATAAACAAGAAACGTTTCAAGACGAGGCTTACCATTTACAGGCGAGTTCTTCATTCTGCTGAAACAAAAGCGGTCAGATGAATTATGCATGCCCCGTCGATACCGATATTACCTTTTACAATGTAGTACTATTATCATAATGACCGCCCCTACGAGTGCCGATGTTAATGACACTATTACCAGTGTTAGGACCCATCCCACCTCGCCCGGACCGTCTGAAACGAGGCAGCGAACGCTTTAACTATTCCGTTTAAGATAAAATTAATTTCTAAACAATAATTTTATTGCTGAAATATCGTAAAATACATTGGCAATAACAATAATAAATAGAATAAACAAAGTATATAATAATTCTGAGGTATACGATAGTCAACAAATATCATATTAATCAAATATATAATAGGTATTACAAAAAATCTAATATTTTTGGCAGGTTTAGTTCTACCACTACTAACCACCGAACAGATGCAAATTTAATACAAAAAAAAAGATTTTGGTTCTGAAAAAAAAAACGACATTGAATCCGTATTATAAATACACTACTTTATTTTTGGTAGAAGAAGTCTTTATAAAAGCGAAACGTACTACTCTTCAATCGTCCCTCGTATCTTAAAAACTTAGTAATACCCAAAGTCCGGTTATGGTATTTTTGAAAATTAGGGTGGAGCGGGCATTGGATAAACGACACCTTTCCATCTCCAATATCATAACGAAATGGAATCGAAAATGGAACCACCCTACTTTCCTTTGTAGATACGAGGGATGTTTCTAAAGTAGTTAATTTAATTTAATTTTTCAACAAGATATCCATTTAACTGGCATCCAAATCAATTCAACTTTCTGTTTTGTAATAATAATTATTTGAAATAAAAATTTCGCAATTTAAATTATAATTTATTAGCAATGTGTTAGTGTAAAGTGTTATTGAATATCGTTGCAACAAAAAAAACGTTTGTTTAAAAAAATAAAAAATATTTTTACAAATAAGTTTAAATTAGCCAATTTTGAATAGTTTGGTCGTTTAAAATTATTGAACAATAATAAATATAATTATAAGTTATTAATATTAATTATGAAATATGCATCAACTTTTGCAGTTAGTCAAAGCAAATCCCGTATGTTGTCGCACATAAAAACGATCACACGGTATTTAAAATTATTCGGTACATGAAGAATTTTGTAAAGTGAAGGGCTTTTTCAATTGCTCCAAGAAGTAGCGGCCAATAAATTAGTAAATAGTAAATAAGCATTACATTTATCTCTGCAATTGATAAAGCGTCCCCTGGACGGGTAAAAACAACGAACTTAGTAATTGTTATTCGTATAAAAGAGAGCGGTCGTTCAAAAATGTTGTCCCCTTAGGGCTTACATCTTTTTATATAACCAATCCTATAAACTTCATCTCTTATCGCGTCGCACGGTATGTAAATGGGTACGGGCGACAAAAAGCGAAGACTACAGAAGCGTCGCGTCGAAGCCTACCACCCTCTCTTCTTTTTTGCTTTATTAGTATCTTAGCCTTCCTCCGAGTTGCCGCTTATTTAGATAAGCGCGTAAACCAACCGAAACGCCGTTAATGGAACATCGCGATAAATTATGTTATCGAAAATACCCAAAACAATTTGAAACGTGGTTGACGATTTTTTTGTGGTCAGTGATATATTCTAGCGTAACCTGTTCGTGATCTATGTATCACTTCTTTACATACATACCTGTCTAAGTTAATATTGAATAATCCTTTTCTCTCTTATTCTGATTTGATGGAACGTTTTCGTATAATTTGCAGTTGTCCTAAGGAAGCCTATATTCATTGGCGAAAGCTTGAGAAAAAACGACAGGAACAAGCTCACGTGCAATGTATTGTAAGTGCTAATCCATGCCGGTATTGTTTTAATTTTATTCTAAAATACATATGCATATGCATTTTCTTTGGCCACTTTCATAGTATATTTTTTGCGTAATTTTTAACACTAAAATTCAGCCATTTGGTACTATAGAATGTAGTCTCAGTGTAGATAAAACAAATTTTGAAAATAACAAGCCATCAAACAAGATCGTTTTTACTCGGTGTCACGCCTCATTAGTTACCCAATCGTACGAGATCGTACGATCCCGAATTCCGGCGAGATCCCCGAAGATAGCACGCGGGACATAAAATTATTTTATTAGATAACGATCGCGATCGCCGCAACAAAAAGATGTACGCGAAAGATTAAATAATAAAAGGGACCTCGGGTAATAACGTTCCGGAGTTACGGTACTTGCCGGACCAGTGACGTGCACCCGGATTTTTCCGGTCGATACGATACACAATTGGGTGACCTTACTTGATATTCGTTACGAAACTCTCCTATTTTTTTCGTCCCGATTAAGTACATACCAATCATCAAGTCAAGTCATTTTTTAATTTGACGTTAACTATCATTTTTTTGTCGAACCACTATTGGTAATTATCAAAATTTGTTAATAACATCTGGTATTGTATTGTACGGGTGGTTTCATAAAAAACGGCACTTTTTTAAAAGTTTTGAGCAACGTATCATAGGCCGCGACGTCGTCGTCATGCAAAAAAAAAATGCAAGCACAACAACCGCTTTTCCATTCATAAAAAGGTGCCCTTTGAAATGTGCTTTTTAAATGTTCTTTAATTCTTAGCTCGCTATCTACACAAATGCCCAAGTTCTTAGCACTATTAATGAAGCTAAGCACTGAGCCACTAATTAAAATATTTAAAGATGTTTTGACCCCATTATGACCAAAAAGTAATAATGAAGATTTTGTAAGGTTTTTAAGAGCTCACTCAAAGTTCGTAAATGTTGATTGTTCTACCTCTAAATTATCATCATAATCAAAACGATAATAAATTTGTGCAGCGTCGACAAACGCTTGAAGTTAATGATTTTAGAATGTCCGAAGTACACACAATAAATAACAGGGAACCTAAAATGGATCCTTGTGGCACCCCTGTATCAGAGTATTTGAAAATCCATATTTTAGCTTTGATATGAGAAGTGTGATAAATTTAAGAACGGCATTCATTTTCTTATCATACGCTTGAAAAAGATTTTTTTTTGAGAACCCATATTGCATAAGTGCAATAAAAAATGCTTATCAAACGGATATTCGACTTGGTCATTGGATTAGCAACTTTTGGTAATGATTTTGATTTGTTTTAACACCATTAAGCACCTTATTTACTTCTGTTGTTGTTGAAAGCTTCAGAACGGTATGGTGTTCAATGTCGAATAGCTACTCGGAAAACAATTATATTTTCCACCAAGTTTTTACCACTCATATATACTGCTCATAATAAAGTAGGATTTTCACGCCGTATCAGTTTTTTTTATGATACTCGGTTTCGATTAAAATGTTTTTTTTTTAAGAAAAGCAATTTTTGTTCAAAGTCCGCCAGTTTTGGTACGCCCCGTATAATTTTTTCCGCCAGCACACGCGGTAAATAATGGCGGAGTTGACCGTTTTAAGGCGTTATTCGCTATTGTTTGCCCGCGGTATCCGTTCGAATGGTATAAAAACGGGGGAAAGGTACAAGACAGTTGGATTTAATTAATTGATAAAACGCAATGCGGGCGGTGTTTGTCCTATCGGCGAAAACGCCCACGCGGTCCATTGGCGTCGGGAGATAATTTATTGGGTAGGACGCGAGCGAAGCAGAACCTTCAGGGTTTGTTAAAGTTGCTGCCACACAGATAAATTTTAAACCCGTGGTGCATCCGGGATACTTTGATTACTTTTAACCTGTGGGTGACTAATTATAAGTTTGAAACACTCGCATAACCAAAAAACGACACTGCGGGGGTTGATGTGGGATTAGAGTTTTTTGCGAAAAATACGTAGGTACAGAGTGTCCCAACACGTTTACTATTGCTACACTATATTTGCTATGTCTGTCATAGTTGTCTAAAGCAATTATTGGAAATACGTAACTACGCCGTGTTAATCAAAGAAAACAGTAAAAAATCTTGACATGCGATCAAATTTGACGTGCTTTTTTCGGTCTTGGCGATTCTGGGTTCTTCCATTGAGACGACTGGACTTTGGTTTCGATGTCGTAACTAGATATCCATGATTCGTAAATAGTTAGGACCTGTTTGAGCATTTCAGGATCATCATTGACGTGGTTTAACAGCTCTTGAGCAGCAGTTGCTTAACAGATCTTGCTGCTACACGTTTTCATGCCCAAAACTTCTGAACGCTTTCATTAGTTATGGGGCGTCAACAGCGAGGTCTGACATCGGCCATCTTGGAACAGCTTGTACCACTTATAAACATTTTCTTTAGCTCAAAGTAGATTCACATATTGTCAAAATTGCAAGTGTTTTGCAGCATCGTATTTCATTTTTGACACAAAATTTTATGCAAATTTTTTGTCCCATTTTTTTGTCTGACGAGAAACAGTAAACGTGCAAACTAGCTGAAACTGTGAAATTATCGCAGCTACGTAGCCCGCCCAATTACAAGAGTCACTTTACTTTTTGCTCACACCTCGTATACGTTTATTGATTTGTTTCTACTATACAAGCGTAACATTTTTTGTGTGTCAAGTTTTAGACACAAGTTTTCTTTGTTCTGAACAAAATGTTACTTAGGTCATCGTTTGAAATGATTTTCAAAATTTAATTTTGAATCGCCGACGATCGTATTTAGATTGTCTCGCAACAAAGTGACATTCTTGTTGTTGGGTGGTTATATTTTTTAATTTTTTTCCCTATTCTTTTTAACCTAGTGTTCCTTTTCAATAATTTTCTCTATCCCTCTTTCTTCTTTGCTGCTCTGGAGTTTGGCCACTTGTTATCACCACCAAAGGTGGTTGTAATTTTTAAATTTATAGCGTATTGGATTCAATTACATAATATTTTCTTTCTTTCTTCTTTATGGTCTTCGATCAATGCCCCAACTGAAATATCATCATCAGTTCTCTTTTCTTCCTTCCTACTCTGGATTGTATGTGCGAAAAATCCGGGGAGAAATCGTTTAAAAACTTTTGACATCCTCAAATTCTTTATAATTGTCGACGTTAAAGGCACACACTTCTGTCGAAAAATGGTTTGAATTTATTTCTTTAAACTGCATCAAGAGGATACTCTGACAGTTGTCGAATGATAATCTCTGCATTTTCTTATGGTAAATTCCTTCGTTCTCCGTCATTTTTTCCAAAAAAACAGTTACTCAAATGCAAAAAATAGTATATACCTCGGCCGTCGTACGGAATGGCGCTGTTGCCGTGTTGCCACGCCCACGAGCACAGGTCGCAAGTAGTGACTCCGTCGGGGGTGACGTCGTCGAGAAAGAGGGGTCTGGGCGGCGGCGGCACGAACCCGCCCCCGAAGAAGTCTGGGCGGCGGCGGCACGAACCCGCCCCCGAAGAAACCGCCCTCGGTGGCGTCTAAGGGCAACCTGGGCGCCTGGTAATCATCTTCGACGGGCCACACTTCGTCGCTGCTCTGGTTGTTGCCGATGCGCGCCTGGAATGCGACGCACGATGCATTAATTATTGTTTTAAACCTAATTTAGTAAAGTTGTAGAGGAAAGTTGTCCAAAAATTGATATAAAACCGGCAACGTTGCCTTAATATTCGATATTTTGAATTGAAGTATTTTTAAAATAAGGACGCTAGTTTAAATTAAAAATGTCTGTATGCTTGAAACATGAATATGATATGTTCAAGATATATTGTTCATTGTATTAAGTTTATTTGGAAAGAGTTGCCTCCTTAAGATGGTGGTATATAATTTTAGAAGGAGAAATAAAATACCCGTTTTAAAAATGTACTGCTTTTTGTTTTAAACGACCTGTGCAGTATTCTCAATGTTAAAAGTCAATAAAATAATTATGATATCCTCCAGATGATGATCAATTTGATTATGCTTTCAAAATATACTTTCTATTATAGTATATATATTATAGCACTGTTTGGTACTGGTTGTATCAGTTTTTACCGGTGTAAGTTATCAGTGTAAGTAAGTAAGTTGTCACGAACACTAAATATTGAAGACGCGTTGAAAAGTTGGGGACTTCCGGAATCCGTTATAATAGTATTGAAAGGCACATAGATATAAATAAAATATATAAAGTACTGTAATACTTTTTACGAAACTTCTGGATTCCTGCTGCGTCGGTTTTTGTTGAGTCGAACTTGCTGACGTTTCGCCAATCATCATGTTGACTTCTTCATAGCCTGGCTGAAACTGGCTCGCGTTTTACTCTGTGCCTATATTGTTTGAACATTGAACAATTGAAAAGCATTACATTCTACATAGCATTCCTCTTTACTATTTCTGAAACTCTCAACATCATTTCAGATATATTAAAATCGGGAACCTGAACCAAACCTTCTCACTTTAATTGAAAAATGCTTGCCTGGAACACATTTTTCTTATACCGGTCAAATTTTTGAGCAAACTATCACCAGTCATCGCGAATATATTTATGGAAGCTTTCGAGAAGAAAGCTCTCGACGCCTTCCACCGAAAAACAAAATTATGGAAAAGCTACGTCGATGATACTTTTGTTATTTGGCCTCACGGTCAGGAGTCCCTAGTGGATTTTCGTAGACATTTAAACTCTATACACCCTAACATACGTTTACAGAGGCGTAAAACATCTTACCTCTGCTCTTCTCTCTAATAATTTCCACATTAAAGATATTAAGCGTTGCGTCACAAAATATACTTTACCACAATAGCCACTAATAGCAATGAGGCCGAAAGCAATCCCACACTTGCCACTGTTTACATTTAAAACATCACTGATCACATGTCAAAAGTTCTAAAGAAACATAACGTCAAAACCAGATTTATCACTTGCTCAAAAATCCCTGAACATCTTCGACCCGTCAAAGACAAAAAATTGCATTTAAAATGCATATGCGGCAAAGAATACATTGGAGAGACCGGACGAAACATTTCAACTAAGCCTAAAGAACATGAAAGAGCCTTAAGACTAAGATTAGCAATTGCCGAATACAATTACGAAACCGGACATAAAATTTTATTCGATAAATCTAAAATTCTTGCATGTAATCAATTCTTCTACCTACGAAAAATCCATAGAAATCTATAAGCAAGCTGACAATCTTAACCACGACTCAGGTCTTAACCTGTCACCAATAGGGAATCATCATTTAATGATTTTTAATTGTTTAATGAATGCCCCCCATTTAGCTCCGCCCCCCTCAAACGATTTATACGCAGGTACAAAGTAAAATGCGCAGGAAGAATCCAGAAGTTTTGTAAAAAGTGTTCTAAATACATTTAGAATGTTATTATTACCACATTGACTATCTACATGTTGGAGAGAGTAGGGAAGCTGATCAATAATAACGAAAATTATTTGTATGAAATATATATGGGTTTTTCGGTACACTAATAAAATATTTGGCGTGTGGATCCTTCTATTTTTATAAAACTAAATACATACCAAAAAATATCCGTGTTGAAGTAACTCCTTTTGTTGATACTTTTAACATATTTAAAGCTAGTAAAGAATATGGGCGATAATTTTGTTTAGATTAAGTGTTGTTCTTTATTTTAGGCAGGAGCAATTAACATATTTATGCACTTGTTACAAATTTTTAACAATTTTGCCGCGTTTGTTAATAAAAAAGAGTCAAACTTCATTCTCTTTTTTTTGTAAGAATTACTATAAAAATTGCCTGTAACAGTTAAACGGTGGTAATTACATTTTCGAAACTAAAAGAAAACGTTGGCAATAAATTGTGTTTCTTCGTCCAGAAGTGGTTTTAAAGTGGCGATTAGATTAAATCTGCATTTGGATAGATAAAATTAATTGAAATTTATTTATCACTTCTTTTTAACAATAATAGAAATTCATTTTTGTCAAAATTATTAATGTATCTTTAGTAACACCTCTGAAAAAGAACATTTTTAAAAGAATTTCTTAACTACCTTTATTTGTTAAAAATGATCGACATTACTTATATCTCCATTCTTATGGTAAAATTACTATCCTCTTAGATTAGAAACAAAAACGAAAACATTCTAATAATGCCAGCAGACAAAGGAAATGCCACTGTCGTCATGAATACGTCGGATTATAATGCAAAATTGGAGGATATTTTGAACGACCCAATATACAAACTAGTCACCAGAGATCCCACGACATATTTGGAAAAAACAACTAAGTCCAAAATTCTCGATTCATCAATAAACGAGGATACAAAGAAGAAACTTATTCCGAGGGAAAAATCGAGTCAATCGAGTCGTTGCCCAAAATTCTACGGGCTCCCAAAGATCCATAAGGACGGGGTTCCCCTGCGTCCAATCGTAAGCGCCGTGCACTTCAGCCTATAGTGGAAAAGGCAGATTCCTATGTTAAAAACTCAGAACATTTCACTCAGATTTTAGGTTCTCTTAGGATGGACAAGGACGACATTATGGCAAGTTTCGATGTCAAATCCCTCCACCCGAGTATTCCAGTAGAAGAGGCACTCTTGCTTATAGAAGAAAACGAAGATCTTCCGCCATACATAATGGATCTGTCAAGACATTGCCTGAAAAACGCTTACTTTATGCACAACGGGAAAATTTACCGACAAATAGATGGGGCAGCAATGGGATCATCTCTCTCACCTGTGATTGCCAACCTCTTCATGATTTACTTCGAAAAGAAAGCAATAGAGAAGGCAAATCTGAAGCCAAAACTATGGACAAGATACGTTGATGACGTATTTGTTGTATGGCCTTTTGGCAAGGAGGAGCTTTTGAAATTCCTAGATCATCTGAATTCCATTCACCCAAGGATTCAATTTACAATAGAACTTGAAGAGGATAACAGTCTGCCCTTTTTAGATGTGCACATCACAAGGACCGAAGATGGACACTTGGAACACACTGTCTATAGAAAACCAACACACACTAATAGATATCTGAACGCTAAATCTCATCACCACCCATCACAGATACAGGCAGTGGCAAATACATTAATTGCTCGGTCCTTCAGGCTCACAAACGAGAGGAACAGAGATAAAGAACTGAAGAAAATTAGTACCTGTCTTCAACAAAACGGATACCAAAGGCGCACCATCAGCAAGGCAATCAGTAAACAACAACAGAAGCAGCAGAGAGTGCAGGACGAGACCCAACGAAGATCGATCGCTGTCCTGCCATACATCAAGGGGGTTACTGACAAAATCGGCCGAATATTACGGAAACACGACATATCAACGGCATACAAACCTGACCATACCATCGGAGCAATACTAAGAAACCCAAAACAAAAAATTACTCTGGAAAACCAAGGAGTATACAGTGTAGCATGCGGATCGTGCAGCCTGACGTATGTGGGACAGACCAACAGGAGGATTTCAGCCAGGCTCGAGGAACATCGTTTAGCCATAAGAAACAAACAAACAACATCTGCTTTGTTTCAGCACCAACATCAGACAGGCCATAAAATTGATTTCGGCACTTGCAAACAAATAGCTAATATTCCTGATTTTAGGACTAGGATTATACGAGAGGCCATCGAAATAGAAAAGTCCGGACACCTCAATACGAGAGACGACGCTCTGCATTTATCCAACACGTGGAGAACGATAATCAAACAGCAGAGCGATGCGCAGCAGCCAACGGGGACATCGCAACTACGATCGGGCGAAATTAACAACGCGACAATTCAGGGGGCGGAGCCACCTCCCCCCACGCACAAGCAGCACCGTTACCATCTCCGGCGCAGAGTATAAATACCGCACGCACCGCCGATAACCTCCCAGTGTTCGAAGTGTTTTCGGAGCGCGAGCATTGAAGATGCCAAGTGAGATTTTGGCGAAACGTCTGCAGGATTCCAGTCGGATGCAAGATTTGCAGGATTCCAGTCGGATGCAGGATTCCAGTCGGAGTTCAACGAGCGAACGGATGATATCCCGGAATATAGTGTCATCATATATATATATATATATATATATATATATATATATATATATATATATATATATATATATATATATATATATATATATATATATATATATATATATATATATATATATATATATATATATATATATATATATATATATATATATATATATATATATATATATATATATATATATATATATATATATATATATATATATATATATATATATATATATATATATATATATATATATATATATATATATATATATATATATATATATATATATATATATATATATATATATATATATATATGAAATGAAGTGACGCATATTTCTTTTGAAATTACGATAAGAATAAAAAAGATCTCGAAATGAGCAACTTTTTTCCACCGTTGTAAATAAGGCCCGAATAGGGCAACCCTCGGGCACACCGCAGACGACTTTTCGGACAATTAAAAAAGTTCACTTTTCCCGCATATTCCGCCTTCCCGTCTGATAGTCGGCGTCCTGCGTCGACGAAAACAAGTAATTCGTAAACTAAAACGGAACGCTAAACAACCGGCACCCAAATTACTTCAT